TTTGCTATGATCGTTCTCTAATACACTTAAGCTTTTCCAACAGAGTTCAAGCTCTGATACCAATTGTTGCCCAGATATAGGCTCTAGAGGGGGGGAGGGGTGAATAGAGTCTAAACAAACTAAGGTCAATTTTGGGTTTTAATTAATCAACTAGAACAAAGTTTAACTTCCTTGATACATATTGAAGAAAGTAATTTGAATTTTAAACTTCAAAGGATAATATTTATTAAAAAAAAATATGAAGCAATAAATGTAAGATATAGAGATAGAGATTGCAAACATATACTCAGTGATTTTAGCGAGGTTCAGAAATACCTTCTATTAGTCTTTCTTGGGCCACACCAGCCCTTACAGGATATGAACAAGATTGATGAAGTACAAAGCGATCTCTCTTAGATCTAAAGTACAAGATTCAGCTCACTCTAGAGTATATATGAATAAATTGAAGCTCAATACTCTTTTATGATATAAAGTGTGTATATGATGATGAAAGTCTTTATGATTGCAAGAATATCTTTCTCAATGAATGTAACAACTTTTTATGAAGACCTCAACTCATTATATAAAGTTTCAGATGAGTCTGATATGAAATCTAGCTGTTGGACACACACTTCGAGAAAAACAGGCTGCTTGAAATTTGAATTTTCACAGGTTCGGTCGTTCGAAATAAAACACCCTTGAGGTTCAGTTGACCGATTTGGTTAAAGGATGGCCATTAGCCTTGGTTCGGTAGACCGATGAAAAAGCTCTCTTTGTTTCGGTCAACCGAAACTCCTTTCTCCTTTGTTCTAAACTCTCTGTGAGAATCGGCTCTGCTGATTTATTTTCCTTTCTAGTTTCGGTCGCCTGAAACTCTAGTGAGGGTCTTTCAAATGCTAGGTTTGGTAGACCGAAAAATAAAGGTCCTGAGATTCGGTAGACCGAAATAGTTTAGAGGTTTTGATCCAAGCTCTCTTCTTATATCGGTCGATTGATTTAATATGCCCTTTCAATTCGGTCGACCGAATTGGTTTATGTATCAGGAACCTGTTTTGATGATGTGTTAAGCTTGGTCCTTTGACCCTTGATATTATGAATGAGTTGTTTATGCATGATTTAGGAAATGAGCTTCAAAATGTTCATACAAACTTTAACAAAGTTTCCTAAAACAACTCACCATCCTAGCTACCTTATTGATGAGATCTTGATAATTTCTTTGAATCTTGAGTCCTTTTTGATATGTCTTGATGATGCTTTTTCCTTTGAGCTTTAATATGTAACGACTTGTGTTGATGAAAGCTTTTAATCTGTAATTTGCTCAAGGTAAACATTAGTACACATAAAACACCAATAATGAATTATGATCATCAAAATCCTTGGATTCAAGGTCAACACATATCATATCATTATTTATATGTTCCTATATATATTAGCAATAGACTATACACTTCATTCATATATAATTGCACATGAAGTCATTGCTAAAGAATGAGTTAGTTCAAGCTTGCATAAGCTTTGAAAGAACTCATCACTTGTGCTAGAAATACTAAGACCATGCACATCAATTATAAAATTCATTTTGGTCAACAATTAAGGCATGAGAAACCTTCATTACCATGAGTTGGTAATGGACATTAGGACCCCTGAATGCGCGTCATGAAAAACTGTGTTTTTGGCTAAGTGTGAAAATTGGATTTTTGAAATAATAATTATTTCAAAATAATTTTTCCCGGTACTAACTCTTTATACTTCAACTAGCATAAACTGATTTTATCATAATTTTTGACCAATTCTACATTGGTCTACATACGGATTCATTTTTATTAAAACTGTCGAAAATCCAAATTTGTACTAAAACTGAATTTTTACATTTTGATTTAGTTGGATTTCAATTTTCTTATATTTTTTATTGAATCCAAATGGAGGGCACTTCCTTATTTACATTGTAAACTTAAAGTAAATGGACATATAAATATTGTAAAGACATTTACTTAAATGTTTTCAATGGAAATAAGGTATGTGCAGATGTCCTGTGGAAAAACTATCTCATTTGTTAACTTAGAACAAAATTTCTGAAGTAGTAGTTTCATTTCGGCAGACCGAAATGCATAGGCAAATTGAATAACAACCGGCCGACCGAAATGTTATTTCAGACGACCGAAATAAGGCACTCAACATATCTCATTTCATTTCGGACAACCAAAATAAACCTTATTTCAGTTCGGTCGACCGATGCAAGTTTAGATCTGATTCAAATAGCTATATTCCTCTCAGGCAGTGTGCACAACAGCTTTTTGAATTAGATGCAGAAACTCTATAAATAGAGTAAGGGGACTTCGGGATTTCGGGATTTCATGTTGCTACACTTGAGAGACATCTTCTAGCATCATAAGAGCTTTTGTTCTTCATTCGTATCATACTCTCTCATCCCATATCATTCATATAGTATTGAGCTTCAATTTATTCATCTATACTCTAGTTGTGAGCTAATATTTATATATCAATCTTTGAGAGATATATTTATATGCAACAAATCTGATCTTCAATTTGTAAGGGATGGTGTGGCCTAAGGAAGAAGAATCAAGCTAGCTTCATATTTGCAAGGGTTAGTGTGACCCAAAGGAAGACTAAGAGAAGTTGTCTTTTAGCAAAGAGAAGCAAGGAGTTGTTTCTAATCATGGTTTGCTCTCTACCCGTAAGGAGGAGCCACAGTGGATTGGGAAGTCTCAAGAGGGGTCTTGAACCGAGGAGTAGGAGTTTCCGAACCTCGCTAAAATTGCCGTATGAATGTTTGCAAATCTCTCTTCCTTTATCTCATTTACATTTATGCTATTAATTGCTTATGTCTATATCTTGATTGTTGCATAAATGTTATAAAGTGTGTGTTAGAATTTGCAAAACAATCAAAACTGAAAATTGGCCAGTGTTTGCCATTGACCCTATTCACCCCCCTCTAGAGTCAATACTTGGGCAACACTTCTGAATATGATGTTACCTAAAGCTAAACTAATTCAATTTGCGAATGAGTCCAAGTCATATTTAGGTGTGTGGGGGACGTGGTATATATAAGTGTGAATGAAATAAAAAGGATGGAAATGTGTGGTGGCTTGAAAAAACTTAGAGTTGCCTAAGTTGCATATGCATCATGGCTATACGAAATGTGTGGGTATCAAGTCAAATGTAGTTCAAAGTAACAAGTTAGAAAGACGAAAGAAAGTGTGGTGAAAGATATGGAAATTGAATGGGGCTTGATTGAACTTAGGATTGCCTACATATTCCAATTCTACGAAGCATATGGGAATCAAGTCAAACATAGTTCGCTTAAATGAATAAGAAGGGTTATGTTTGTAACAGCCCTCACCTTACCCAGACACAATATTTTCGCTTTTGGCTCCCCCAGACCAGAGATTTCCAAGGAGGTCACCCATCCTGGTACTACTCTAGAGTATGCACGCTTAACTTTGGAGTTCTGATGGGTTCATGACCATCACGGCTTTAAAACGCATTGTGTCATAGAAATATGTTGAACCTACATATAGCACCTCACATTTCCCAGGTGATATGAGATCATGACACCCTGTAACCTGCTAGTGTGGTAACTCGTCCAGTATCTCGTACCAACCCATAGGTCGTCACAATCACCCCCGTGGGGTCCCAACATCCTTGTTGGCCACACTTTGGACTGGGCTTCGGCTCTGATACCATTTGTAACAGCCTTCACCATACACAAACACAATTGTCCGTTTTTGGTTCCCCCGGACCAACATCCTAGTACTACTCCAAAGTAAGCACGCTTAACTTTGGATTTCTGATGGATTCATGGTCATCATGGCTTTAAAACGCATTGTGTTACATATAACACTTCACTAATCCTAGGTGATGTGGGATCATAACACCTTGTAGCCTACCAATGTGGTAACTCGTCTAGTATCTTACACTCGCCCACATCACACTCGCCCATAGAAGTCGTCACAATGCTTCCTAAAGAATATACAAGTCTAAAAGATGTGAGGTATGGGATGAAGAAAGTCCTAAAAAGCATACTAGTTTGAAGGATGAGAAGTGTGATGAAAACGATCCTAAAGATGATGTTTGTTTGAAGGAATGAGGGGAGTGATAAAACAATCCTAAAGACGACGTGTCTTAAGGAATGAAGGAAAGTGATAAAACGATCCTAAAGACGATGTGTGTCCAAAGTAGCGACGAAATGTTATAAAAGCAATCCTACAACGATATGTGCCTCAAGGAACGAGGAATGCAGTAAAAATAAGTGTCTCAAGGAACGAGGAATTCAAACACCTCTTCAAACAAACAAATAGGAGGAATGTGGTAAAAACAATCCTAAAGTTGATGTGTGACTTAAGGAACGATGAACGTGATAAAATGATCCTAAAGATGACGAGGGTCTCAAGGAACAAGGAATGTGGGGAAAGTGATCTAAAGACAATGTGTATCACAAGGAATGGGGAATGTAGTAAAAACGAAACTTGAAGAGGATGAGTATCCCAAGGTACGAGAAATGTGGTAAAAGTAATCATACAGATGATGCGCGCCTCAAGAAATGTGTAATGTAGTCAAATTGACACTAAAGACAATGTGCGTCTTAAGGAACGAGGAATCTGGTAAAGTGATCCTAAAGACGATATGTGTATCAAAGAACGAAGAATGTGGTAAAAGCTCAAGGGACGAAGGAATGTGATAAAATGATCCCAAAGACATTGGTCCAAAGGAATATGGAAATGTGATAACAATGATCCTAAAGATGATGTATGTCTTGAGGAACGATGAATGTGGTAAGAGTGATCCTAAAGTCGAGATGTGTCTCAATGAACGAGATGATGACCTTATTCAAGGTGCCTTCGAATTGAAAGAAGATCCTAACAGAATGATGGGCCAAGAGGAGTCCCACAAGGCTGTAGATATGAATGACTTTATTCAAAGTGCGTTTGAGGAAGTTGTAAAAAGCAGTGTTTTGTTATGAAAATGCAATGAAAAATACTCATGCTCTGAGAGAAAAAGGAGTAAAATGTAACGAGAAATGATAAATACCTCATAGATTCTAGTCTGGCACATCATCGTAAAAAAAAAAAAAAAATCCAAGCTTCATGTCAAATGGGGTGAGCTGAGTAACCCAGTTGGTAGAGGCACTCGCTAAATTGTGTGGGAGCCCAAGTTCGAACTCGCCCCATCCTCCCCTTCCCCCTCCTTCCCAGTTATAAAAAATGCTTCATGACATATCAGCAGAATAATGTCTAGAAATGGCTCAGTAGATTAACAAATAAGGAGTCTCCTACTACAAACCGTAACTCTTTACAAACGTCCTATGTTTGATTTTCATTAGGTGCAAAAACACCCTAACTTAAATGATATATTTGATTTGCAATTGCTTGCACATATCCGGAGTTCATCCGAGTGTCCAAACAAAAAGTATATTTCCACTTCCACATCGTATCTGCCGAAAGAGAATAAGAGAGACTCGTATCAGTTGGGAACAAAAGCTCTGAAATTCTCAACATAGCAAAAGATTATACTCCGTATTATACATTAATTGCTGAAGCATAAATAAATATGACTAATGAACTATGTCACAGTAACAGAAGTATCACGCATTCCATCATTAGAATTCACTTTTATATTCACTCCATCTATACAAGTCATCTTCACTGTCACAAGACTTCACAGGACTCTGGACCTCCGATAAATTGGGTTCCATATCCTCAACTTTTTCCTGAACCTGCTCAGATTTTGCCATCTCCTCCTGCACAAATCAATCATTAAAAGGGGAGAATCAGGTCATTACTACAAAGACCAAACCATATTAACTATGAGGCTTCAACTAGAATGATATTACCAGCCATACATGCATTGAGAAGAAAAAAATCAAATCCTTAAAAAGGTCAGAGAGGCAGAATAACAAAAGGCCACAAGCACTAAAAACCAATTTAGTCCTAGCCAAACATTTTGCATTTAAATGAATTTCTGGTTGGGTTACCTGAAGTTTTCTAAAAAAAACAGTTCATTTACCTAATTATTTGACTTCACATTAAGATCTGTGTCCACAATAACAAGCTAGAGCCAAAAGCTCTGGTATAACCCAATTTCCGGCCTTCCTACAAATGCAATTTTTCTAACCTCTTGCTCGCATATATGTTATCACTTACGCCAAAAAGACGAAATATAATGATATGTTAATAAGAAATGAATAACTACTCTAGAAAAAATCTACCAATAAGCACTAATGGCCTGGATTGAGAATAATGCAAACGAGGAATATTGAGAGGCTATCGAATAATGTACGAAATCATTGGTCACTAAAAACTTACATGGGATGCAACAATTTAAAAGAATGCCATTAGCTTGAACAGATCAAATGACTTTTACAGAATGAACTCATTTGTCAAAATTCTCCAAAAAAAAGTCAAAACATTCTTCAAAATATATCTTAGGTGAGATCCACTAATAGTGAATGGAAGAAACCAAGAGCTTGTACTTGTATGAATGTACTCTACATATATAGTCTGCACGCTGCAGATGCATATATGTAATTTCCATGACAATCTTAAACCACACCTGCTATTGACCCATGCACAACAATAAGAAATAAGTAAAGAGCCATACATTAGTTTCGGGAGTCAACTCCACCTCCTGCTCTTCTGTTAAGCCATATGAGTCATCTCCACTGTTCTGTCTTTCCTGGGCTGCAACTTGCTGTAGGCGCTCAATTACTAGATCAAAATGGGAATGGTCTGAAAGAAAATTATAATTATAATTACAATTTCCAGCAAATTCCAACTCACAATATATAAAATTTCATAAAGCTTCCAATTGAAAAAAGAAAGTTATCTCCTTGGATTAAATTTTGGTGTGAATCAAGAAACTGCACGTGCATTCTACTCCGCTCAGCATATTTTACTACGTATGGTGAACCCAACAGACCTCTCCTGAGTGAGATACATGTTTTCATTAAACAAACCTGGTTGTATCTATCAGAATGCACATCGTTTAATTTTTTTCTGGGTGCAATATTAATATCAATATCAAACACTTTAAAGTTGATTCACCAAGTACCCAAGTCCCAAGGTGAGCATTCCCTTTTTATAGGAAAAATTACTCTCCCTTCCAGTTCTCGTAAGTTTTTTTGTCACCTGGTATGCTGATAATTTCTATAATCTGAAAGACAGGCAGGATTATAGTACTCTATATACTCTAATATGTGGCGTTGTATATGTAGGTTAACATAAATCACAGAGTTGGAATGTGCTGAGGCATTTCTAAATGTGCGAGTCACTCTCTTTAGAAATGAGAGCCAATTATAGGTGACACAATAAACTTCTTATTTTGCATGAAGTGACTGATCTGAGACTCATTCCTTCTCAAAATTTGCAACCTAAGCTTCAACAATGCATCTAGCAATGACCTCTTGAAATTGATTATATTAGAACTTATTACATAAAAACATAATACTAAGTATCTGCCACATCAGTTGAGCATTACAAGATGACGGTTTCTTAACATCTTTAAAGGGTGTGAATAAGAATGGCAATGGTGCGGGTTTGGGCCAGGTTTCCATAAAGCCTACCGGGCCTACCCTGCCCTACTAAACAAAATAAATTGTCTCATAACCATCCCGACCCTGGTATGGGTTTCATTTTCCCATCCCATCAATGCTTTTGAAGAGAGTCCAAAAACCTGTCCCCGCTCCGTCTAGCCCATTCCCATTTAATTTACGAGAACCTTGAGAGATGTGGAGGCTCACAGCTTTGGAAGATCAAAGATCACCGGTCATTGGCATATCACTGATTGGAAGGCTTGGAGGCCCAACGATTACCAAACAAAAGCATTTATAAATTGTCGAAAGGTGATCTTCAGCAATGAGCAAACCACGGGTAAGAAGTCTTGGAGACCAAACAATCACCACACAAAAACACTTACAAGTTGCCAACTGTTGCTCCGCGAATGGGAATGACTGGTGAGATCATGAGGGGGCGGAGGGAAAGGGGCGACTGATGAGATCATGAAGGTTTTTATTTTTAATAGAATAAAACTCATCTTGACTACAAACTAAATGGGGTTTTGTCATCTTTTTCTGTACCCGCCCCAAACCCTATTCAAAGTCCTGTCCGCAACCCAAGCAGGGTGGACAGGTCAAATTGCCATCCCTATGTGTGAATATAGCAACTGTTGCATGATAAATTCGAACTTTAGTCCTATTAAGTAAGTGGATTGCAAACCCTGCCTCTGTAGTGTGGATGGGCTATGGGACATGCCATTAACAGTTATGGCCGTCCTAAATTGCAACTGAAATCTGAATAACGAATCTGGCCAGAGTTTCTTGACCTGAATAAACATAAGATTGATGGATTATGCTGAAGTTCATCTCACCATTGACCCTTAATGAGGAAAAAGTTGCTATTATTCAATTTGAAGACATAATAGAGGAGCTGCATATGTAGGTGAGCATTGGTGGACTGCGCATCAGGCTGGAGATCCATTTGAGGAGCACTAGAAGTTCTATTGAGAGTATTCTTGCATTGGACTGTGCATCAGGCTGGAGATCCATTTGAGGAGGACTAGAATTTCTATTGAGAGTATTTTTGGAAAATTAGAGTATACATGCTAGAATATGTCGTTTATGTACAACTCCATTTCTAAGTATTCTTATTGAGTCCAGTCCTTAGCTTTGTATATTCTTGCTTTGGCTATCAACCATGTCCCTTTGTTGTTTTTGTCATTTTCCTTTTTGAGTTGTTTCTTCTCTCCTGGGGCATGCCCCTTGTACTTGTAAGCCTGTTTCTTTTAATAAAATCTAAATACCAAATAAGAAAATCAATGAACCAGAATGTTATAATAAACATTCAAGTTGAAAAGGAGAACAATCAAGTTTACCAAAATTGAAAGAGCAATAGGTTGTGTCCTATGTTTTCTATTTTGACAAGTACAGTAGAAAGCATCAAGGACGTGCAACCTAAGTCACACAGAGGGGGAGCGAAAGTGAGACCGCGAAAGCGCTAGAGTCTAATTTTTTTTAAAGCGGGAGCGTCTATATATTAGGTGTAAATAAAATTTTATCAGGTCATGACATATATATTTTATTTTTATTTTTTTATTTAAATCCAAATGAAAATATATTCATTATTATTTATTCCATTAATGATATATGTAATAAATTAGCCAACTTTTCTCACTAATAAATGTGTGATTTATTTGTAATATTCTTCAATTGGGAAGTTTAATAGTGGTATATTTTCAAAGATGTATAATTAATATATATATAATTAATATATATATATATATATATATATATATATATATATATGGTAGTATAGCAGTGCCATACAATTGGGTCACACGTGAAGTTTTAGTAATTAATGTATATATTGAGTAATAGTGTATGTAATAAATACATATATGGTAATATAGATGTTCCACATCACTAGGATTCTAACAAATTTAGCTGTATAAAGTAAATTCGTATGGAAATCGCGAATTAGGAAAACAAATTCATCAAGTCGACCCCCAACACCCTGTCCTGAGTTTCTTCTAAGAGTTATTATCAAGAGTTTCTTCTCTCTATGACTTTTCTCTCTACCCTCTCAGACGTTGGAGTCATCCACTCCGATGTCCTCTGATTCTTTTCTTTTATTTTGTCTGGTTCATCGTTCTTCATCAAAAAGCGGTGGATCTGAGATATGCTACGGTCTGTTCTCGATGTGGCGACACTTCCATGCCCCAACCTCAGCGGTGAGATCAAAAGTTTCTCAATCGACGACGGAAGGGTGTTCAGGGTTGATCATCAAAGTACAAAGATCTGTGAATCTGCTCTGAAATCCTGCCTAATCGGACGTAGCAGTCAGAGGATTGAGTCGTGGGCGACGAAGATTTGGAAGATATCGTGTGGGGTGGTGGTTTCATCCCTGCCTGACGGTTTGCTTCTGTTCAGACTACCTTCGGAGTTAGAGGCACAAAGGGTCTTGGTTTCAGGGAAGAAGAAATGGGGAAACGCTATCCTATCAATTGACGTTGGGTATTTCGAGGTGGGATGTTCAGCAGCGAGAGCAAGAGACAGGATAAGAAGGGTTGTGATGTACAGTTTGTCTTTCCATCTATGGTGCCCGAAGCTATTCGAATCCATAGGATATCTGTGCGGTGGTTGCAGAGGTGTGGAGGCGGACAAGATGGCGGGAGGTGAGAGAGTTATTCTATACGCTTTTTCCGGAGGTGCAATATTGAAGTTCGTCTTTGTCGAAGATCAGAGAGTGGCCTTTAAGGTCGCCTTGATGGAGGAATCCTCACCATTCATCCTTCCGAAGTCCTCTTACGGCACAACTGATGGTCCCCCCCTTATACCCAACGAGACGAGATTTTTAATAAGTCGCCATTCACTGCAGTTGTAGGTTCACCTCGGCCCTCAAGGACAGTGACGCGTGTTCCTCAACGCGTCGTATGCGAGGGGGGAAGGAGGCCTGCGAGTTGTACGTGTAACGCCCCCTTCCATTCCTTTTCAGGCTTACCTCGTTTTGAACTAAACACTGGAGGCCAACCACGTGGATGGGCAAGCAGTTATACAGATGTCCTTCATGCAGATTATGCTGGGCCTGATCTGAGTATTCGGCAATGGTTATTGGGACTCCGCCGTGTTATGGGCCACAGGACTCTAATGAATTAAAGAGGAAGGTCAAATGCGGGCCCAACAACCATATATCCATTTCTTTTCCAAATGCTAAGCCCAGCCTAAAGGTCCTGATAAAGCCCAGTGATTCAGCTCATGTTCTCTTACCTCCATAGCGTCTTCTTACGGCTCTTCTGCAAACAGATTGTGGACCTCGCCGGAGAAGAGGAGATGGATGCAAATTAGTGCAGGCGAGGCTAGTTTGAGCACAGGCGAGAAGACTTTTTGACATAATCAGTTTTGTACTGCTTTACCTGCAGCATCTCTTCCTTCTGTCCCTGCACTGCTGAATGACAGTTGCTCTAGATTCTCAAATCGGGGCTCTTATATGATTTGCCATGGTAATAGATGGTCTCGAAACGATAAACAGAAGTGGATCGCTCGCACCCCTTCTATCAATGACCCAGGTATGTCCTCTGTTCCTCATCCTCGGAGCTCTCCTTCTGCTCCTTTTTCTTCTTCTACACCTTCTTGTGGGGTGTTGAGGAGTGGTGTTGAGTCGAAGAAGGGTTGTGTGTTGCCAGTTGAGCCATCAGTGCCTGAAGTTGAGCTCGGATTGATTACGGAAGGGACGGTTGGCTACAGGCCTGTTCTCCCTGGTATGTTGACCTAGTTGCTTGTTTTATAAAGGAATTGTCTGAGGGGGTTAAGGTTTGTGTGGGGCGCGATCTTCATTTTTAGTTGACCAACTTCGGCTATGGCTCTGCTTAAAAAGCTTCGTCTCTATGTAGCTCTGAAAGGCCTTAATTGTTTGCCACTTGTATGGGTAGAGGCGAATGATCCTATCAGCTTTTTGAATCATGGTATGGGTGACTATGCTACAGATACGAATTCACAGAAAGAGTTGTATGTAAGTGGAAGATATAACGCAGCGAAGGTGATCAATGACTTGGTCTGCATTCGACAGGTCTGTTCTAATAAGCTTGTCCCATGATTGGAAATTGACCATTCTAACTTGGAAATGGTGGAACCATTGGCTGTCGTGCAACCCGGTTGCTCTGAAACGGCTGCTGATTTGGGTAAGGAATGGGTAGTTGCAAATATAGGAGTTACTAGTCAGTTGTGGGTGTCTCATCA